CGGGCTGACATCTCCATGTTTACACCATGGTACCGAAGTTGCTCCTCGGATGTGGTGATCCAGCCCAAGAGTTCGGAGGCCTTGCCATCGAACTGGGGGAGTCTGTCAGGGTGGTACCGGGGTACATAGGGAGGCGGCTGATAATGAGGAGGGAGGGGGAGGGCACACTACGACAAGAGGGCAGAGGAACTAGGGGCACCTGCAGGAGCACTAAACAAGGCCGGAAGCTGAGGCAAAGGGCCATGAGACATCGTGGTGGTCGGTGGAGGAAGACTAAAGTGCATCGCAGCAACGACTTGTGTCCGGTGCTGCCGGTAGATGAAAGGGGCAGCAGGTTGTGCCGCGACGTGGGGAGTTCAGGGTTGACCTCCTTGGAGCCGGCGGATGTGGTCGTGGCAAGTTGGCTTTGGAGCTCAACATTTTGTGTCCTGGGTGTCATAGGGGGTGGGGGGGGGAGGTAAAGAAGTGGGGGGTGGTGAGGTAGGTGCCATGGAAACTAAAATTGAGGAGGTGGCGGGACATGATGCCGTGGTTCCTAAGGAGGAAAGTGCGGAGGTGGAAACTTGGGAGGAAGATATGGCTGCAGAAGAAGGGTGGGTCTGGGGAGGAGGCATACCACCCGTGGAAGAGACAAGTGTGTAGATGACGCCAGTCGAAGATGGAGAGGAAGCGGGCAGAGTTGCTGATGACGCCGGTGTGGGGGAGGACTGCAGGATGCCAAGTTGGGGAGAGGGGAGGTGTGATTCACTAGGAGGATGTGTGTGGGAAGAGGAGGGGGGGGGGAAGAGAGGAAGGGGGTGTGGTGGCACGCGACTCCATCTGTGACATCCGGTCCAACAAAGTATCGAAATTGGTTTGGATGGCCGTGAATTTGGCCTCGAATGTGGCCCGCTTGTGCTGGAGGGCCAGTACCGGGTCTGATTGGGTGGCGGGGCTCAACATGCGGGCGCAACGGTGGGGATGTCCGATGGGTCAGACATGGTGTCACGAGCTAGGAACGCAAGGCCTTCGCTGATGGAGCGGGAGGGACTCGCTAGCTCAGTACTCTGAATAGAGTCAGGGGATTAAGACAATGAAGAGGGGGAACTGGGACGAGAGGGGCGCTCAGTAGCAGCGATCGACGTGTCCAAGCAAGCAAGTTGTTGTGCGGCACGGGCGTCTCGGGCGCGGTTTTGGAGTACGCGCTGCTGGTTGTCACGGGGAACCAGATTGGCATGCGGAAAAAGAGCCAAGGAAGGAAGGCGTCTAGAAAAGAGATCAAGCAAACTTTCGGAATTAAATCAAGAAATTTTGGAATCGGATTGAGGGAGGAAGGGGAAAATTTCCAATTAAAGCAGGGAAATGGGAAGAAATTTTTAAAAAATAATGTGGGGTATAGAGGAGAGCATGTATAAGACAATCACGAATTCAAAAAAAAATTCCGAAATTATTTAGACGTAAATTCAGAATTTAAAGAAAATTTAAGCAAAATTCAACGAATTTCAAAAATGTGCGTCAATATTTTCGAGAGTTTGGGGAGATAATAGAAGAGGTAGAGATGAGTGCAGAGGAGAATTTTCAAGTGAAATGGAAATTTTCTTGATGTACTTCTGGAATTAAAATAATTTCAAAGGTAATTTTAAATAAAATTAGAAGACTAATTGTTAATTGAAGAATTTACGATAAAATGGCAAAAAGAATTTAATGGCAGTCAAGTAAATTGAATTGGGAGGAATTTCATAATTATTTAGATGAAATTATAAATTGTATCGACATGTTGTAAAATTAAGAAGAATTTTAGAGAATTCCAAAAGAACTTCGGAATTTTACAAGGGATAGAAAGTAGAAGTAGAGTGGACATCAGAAGGATTAAATTTTATAAATTTTGAAATTTATTTCACGAATTTTTGAATTAAAATCAAAATTTAAACTAATTTATTAAAGAATTTGATATAATAAAGAATTTCATGTGACTTTTGAACGAAAACATCGGAATTAATTCCGTTTGCAGCGTTGGAAGAAGAGAGAATGAAGATTAGGGAGGAAATTGAGGAGAGATCGGCGGGAGGAAGGGRGGRAATTAGTAAGAGGGGGTGAGATTGACAATACCATGCTCCCGGTCGGCCGGGAGCAATCAAGGTCCTTCCTCCTAGTCGAGGAAGGTCTTCAATCAACCCCTAAAGGATCTTTTCAATCGTTCCCCCGATAGAACGACGAGGTCACCGGATCAAATGCGCGAACTGATGATGACGAGCCAACGCAATGATGACGTCGGCAATGACGGCACTGACGAGGACAACGATGATGTTGATGATGGTGATGATGATGGCGGCCATGAACCAGTGATCCGTGTGGTAACTTTTTTGACACCTGTTTGAAGTCCCGAAACGTCAGAGGATCGATAGGCCAGGCTCTCACAGCTTGTACCCGTACTGGAAATCACAGCTTGTGTTTCTCTCAACCAACTGCCGCGTCGCAACTGCCTGTACCCCAAATGTGAAATTGACAGTCAAAGGCCTCTTGTGAAAATTTAGGCCCGCCTTCACTTAGGGCGGGCACCACTGTAACCGGGGCCCCTTAGGCCTGCCGAGGACGCAGATCCTCGCACCAGTGACGAACAGATAGTTGTACAGGCGCTGATGCGCCATAGCCATCTGAAGTGAGCTTGTATCTGAACTGTGTTCTTGGTTACCATATCTCTGAGCTTTGAGTGGGCGCTGAGCGCCAGTGTGACATGTCATCTGTTTGCATGTATGTGAAGTGGAAAAGAAAGCGAGTCTGATTGCATGATGAACCAGGTAGTGCAGCCCTTGCTTCGGCATCATATTAATCCAAGTCAGGATGTTGTGCACAGCACTCCCGTTAAGACCCCCAACCAGCTGCATCCTGGTTGGAAGCCCAAATCTGCTCTTGACTTCCTGTTGCCTGAATATCAGCCAAACGCAGCACCTGGTAGCATAGAGTTCGCTGTCAAGTACAAACAGATGCTGCAGCAGGCTGTAGAGCACGCCAAGAAAGCTCAAGATGCCATGGGTGCATCCAAGAACTGACACAGATGACTGTCTGCATTTCAGGTAGGTGAACGAGTCTGGGTAAAGCCATCTGAGTTGGGACAGGAGTTGGGAATCTCACACAAACTGATGCCACAATACTTTGGACCTTCGGAAATTCTGGACATAGTAGGAGATCACTCGATGACACCCTTCGCTGAAACTGAACAGCGATGCTGTCCCCAACCATGGATGGACATGTGGACATTGACGATATTGTTGAACACAAGCTGATGCCTGTCCCCAAGCCTCCAGGCAGGGGATGCCCTCCGAAACCGCAGATCCAATATCGAGTGTGGTTCGGACATCATACGGATCCTAAAGATCGGTGGTTTACAAGAGTAGAATTAATGAATACTGCTCAGATTATCTCAAGTTACGAAAGAAACTTGAAAGGGAAGCAGACTGCTGTGTAACGACTTTTCAGAGGACTATCGAAGTAAAGGAGGGAGTTTGAGGGTTTACCCCTCGGCTTAAGGCCTTGCAGAAGGTGTGTGCCTGCCCTAAGTGAAGGCGCCCCCCCTGAAGCTCAATGTGCTCTGAGTTCGTCAATTTTTGCAAATCTTGTTGGGCGCCAGAGAGTTGGAGTTTGAGGGTTTTACCCCTCGGCTTAAGGCCCTGCAGCAGTGCGTGCCTGCCCTAAGTGAAGGCGGGCCCCTTGAATCTCAATGTGCTCTGAGTTCGTCAATTTTTGCAAATCTTGTTGGGCGCCAGAGAGTTGCCATGCGCCAGTTGGTTACATCCGCGCTGCTCATGAGAATCCCAAATATTTGTGAGCCTTCCGGGCTCTTCCAGCAACTTGGTCGAAGCAGGGAGCACCGCACGTTTGTGAATGGGTGGTTGGGCATGCCTAACCAATTCAGTCCTATGCCACTGTCTGAATGGGCCTGGGCGCAGACACTTTGGCCGAGACTGAGTCTATATGGAAAGCGCTCGCCACTTTCCACATAGGAAAGGGCTGGGTTCCTTGTTGGTTCCTTGTTGGGGGTCGGGCACTTGCGTGCAGATGCGGCAGCGCTGCTGAAGCTGAAGCTGAAGCTCACAGGCTGCTGCGGTAGCGCCAGGGGCAAGTTTGCGCGCGCGTGGGGTCGCTCAGGAGGAAGGGCGCTGCGGAGGGCAGTGCTATAGCCAGCCTTCGTAGCCAGGCTTGGCTTGGAGATAGCCAGTAGAAGTGGTGGTGGTCTTCGTGTATGAGGGAGAAGACGTGGGGGATGAAGTCAGGGTGAGACAGAGAGAGAGATAGGGTTGATGATGTGAGGCGATGGTCTACAAGGGTTGACATCTTCATGTACTTTGGTTCTGCTCCTGATGTCAACTGGATGCATTGTCAATTCATAGGCTGCCAGTAAGCTGTGTGATAGTAGTCTGGGCGCTGAGCGCCGAGTAGGACGAAGGACTCTGGAGACATATGTTGGTGGTGGCGAGAGTATCGACATTCGGATTCAGTGATTTGGTTCTCCGTTGGCGGAATATCAGTGCATTACTGCTTTCTGGACAGTGGGACTTGCTGGCATTCAATGTGATTTTGCACTCTGGGTCCTGTCTTTTGCTCTCTCATTTTCCTTGCATTTGGATGTGGTGAGTTGCTGACAACGAATCTCTGGCAAAGGTTTTGGAAATCAAATGTCATGCTTAGAGGCGATGGGGGACGAGAAGGGAGTCAGTAAAGCCACTGAAATGTGTGTGCTCTTTGTCTGTATCACATCCGTGTGTCTACCGTGGTGTGCGAGTGTGCACTCATGGGGTCTCAGAGCTGATCCTGCGTGTGTTGGCTTTGTGTGTGTGTGTGTGTGTGTGTGTGTGTGTGTGTGTGTGTGTGTGTGTGCGTGCGTGTGTGCTGTGCGGTTGTGTCACATGTTTGCGGTCTATTCTCGCTTGTGTTGGCTCTGTGTGTGTGTGTGTGTGTGTGTGTGTGTGTGTGTGTGTGGTGTCCTTTCATCACATGTTTGCGGTCTATTGTCGTTTCTGCAGATTGTTTATTGTAATATTGGGAATCCACAGGCCCTGCACCAGCAAGCAATAACATTTTTCCGAGAGGTGAGTGCGGAAAAGTCAATCCAACCATCTAAGCTGCGGGTTCCGTGGAACTGGTCCTGTGGGACTGACCATTATTTGATCGGATGGTTGTGATGATGATCATAAGAGGACAATGACAATGGCAATGATACCGACAATGACAACAATGACGATGAGTAGGGGAATGATGATGACAAGGATAATGATAGCGATCGTCATTACCATGATGATTATCAACAACATACTACTGAAGCTTAGTGGGCCACGGGTGTAACGCTGCGCGCTGAGCCGGTTCTTTTCTTTCATGTTTTGGCGATATGATCTTGATCTTTGCGGCTGGTGCTGCTGGAAACCAGAATTCCCAGTGGTTTTGCGAGCTCTACTTTTACGCCGCGTTGGCTTTTTGGGGTGCTGTGGTCTCGACGCGAGTGTGCTCTCTTTGCTCTTCGTTTGTTTTTATCTTGTGTTGGTGTTGTAGATTTGGCCACTATCGAACAGACTTTCTGTGACTCGTAGCATCGAGACTAAATTTTTTTGTGGGGCTCAGCAGCGGCCCGACATTTGTTTTTTACTTTTTGTTGCACGGCAGGGTTGCGCCCCTGCCGACCGCCAACCGTATTGCAGCCGACCAGTAGGGCCAACCGGTCGGCGGTCTGCCGACCAGTCAGAAAACAACCATCCACTGTTTTTTTTTTCAAATCTTAGTTGGGAGCTGTACTGCGCTTGCTGCTGACTACAGCCCAAATCCACTGAGAAACTTTTGGGGATTGGGGGGTTGGGGTTGGAGCATACCTGCGGTGCAAGTGTGCTGGTCATCCATGCACGACAAAAAAAGAAAAAGAAAAGAAAAAGAAAAAAAAAGCGGCTCTTATGTGTGAGAACACGCAAGAGAGAGAGAGAGAGAGAGAGAGAGAGAGAGAGCAAACAAATAGCTCCTTAGCATTTATTTGAAAACCGCTGCGGGTTATCCGAGAGGCCCCTGCACATAATTAGCAAGGGCCACCTCACCATGAACGAGGTAATTCTCATAGCCATGCTAGAGTCATGGCATGCCAAGTATATATGCTGTTGATTCACATTAAGGTCCGTGTTTCAGCAGTTATGGGACCACTGAGCACGGGAGTTTCTGGGCAGTAGCAGGCCAACTCACCACGGGCTTTTCAGGGCTTCCCTCCACTGCTTACCAACTGTTGCATACCGTAACGGTGCAGACCAGAACAAGAACCGACCTCTCAATACAAAGTACAAGATAGCGTAGCGGAAGACTTAGATACCAACGATCCGAACAATCAATATTGCAATGCAGCCCTGAACATACATCATCATCATCGTTTCATGGTGTGAAAGGGGTCTGGCGCTTCACACAGAAAGACTGCGCCAGCCCCAACCATACACAGACGAAGAAGAAGGGGGGGGTTAGACGAAGAGGAGGGGAAGATGGGAATGTCATCAACACCAAGTCTTCGGCACAGGCCCAAATAGTCCCTCGTCAAAATGTCTGAATCCCACATGTCGAGTCTGGATCCAATGTCGTCAAGTCTCAAGTCACAACTCTCTCTCTCTCTCTGTAGTAGTCCACTGATACTGAGAAGTCAGGTGGTGAGAGGGTGAGAAGAGATGGTGGACTTAGAAGAGGAAGAAGAAGAACTCTCTCTCTCTCTCTGTGTCCAGTACTAACCTGTGAAGTTACGGCGCCACAGGTAAGTACCGCTGGCCTCCGCCAGCCATCTCCCTCCAATGCTACTACTACCACCTACTAGCGCCCAGCGCTGAAGACTACACCTACAGCTATGGGCGCCCAGCGCTGAAGACTACTGCAGCGCTCCTCCTGAGTGCTGCGGCCGAATCCTGAAGACTACTCGTCCTACTGTCCAACTACCTACCGTGAAGTGCATGGGAAACTCCTATGTACTACTCGGCCTGCCTCCTGACTGCAGGGCGAGGCAGTCCAGGAGGCTGCTCTTGCCAATGCCGCAGGGAGTCAGGGGCTGCCGCTGCAGCTCCTGCTTGAGGCAGTCGTGGGAACAGGCTAAAGATAGCCTGTTCCGAAAACCCTGTTTTTGTGCCTGAGTCTTAGGGTCGGCCGAAACAACGAGGGCCTGAGAATGGCCCTCCGTTTCAGGCTGAAAAGCCTCTGGGCCTGAAAGGCCCAGAAATAGGCTGAAACGGAATAGGGCCTGCAGGCCCTCGTTTTTCAGTTTCAGACTGAAACGACCGGGGCCTGTAAGCCAGTGCTAAATTCCCGGTCTGACCGGGGGGTCCACCCCCAACCGGAACCGGGCGGGTGGGACCGGCCGGCGGCCTGCAGGGCATTGGAGGGGAAGGCCCGAATCGATTTTTTTTTGGGCCAGGAGGCCCCCACACGGGTTGTGGGGGCCTCCTGGCCCAAAAAAAAATCGAACCGGGTGGCGCAGGCCTCCCTTTTTGCTTCCAAGGCGGCGGCCTCTCCGGACCGCTGATCGAGGCAGATCGGCGGCCCAGATGAGGCCGCCGTTTTGAAATTTGGAGGGAGGCGGTAGTCCTCCGTTTCCCGCCTTTGCCCGTCAGCCTCCCCCACTTGCAGTTTCCCGTGGCCTCGCCGTTGTCGACCGTGCCGAATGCATCCCCGTGGCCGTCCTCCTCGTCGTCCGTGGCCGTCGCCACCACCTCCCGTCGCGCGTCGCCCGTCGCCGTCCGTGGCCCGCAGCGCACCCCGCCACACAGGTAAGTGGCCATCTTCTTCTTCTTCTTCTTCCTTTCTTCTTCTTCTTCTTGTTCTTCTTGTTCTTCTTCTTCTTCTTCCTCTTCTTCTCACCGAAGCTTACCACTTCTGTGTGTGTGTGTGTGTGTGTGTGAGAGAGAGAGAGAGAGGGAGAGAGAGATCCTTTTTTTTTCCTTTTTTTTCATCTTGCACTGCGTTCGCTGCCACGTGGTGTGGCATCCCGGCGCATTGAGAGAGAGAGAGAGAGAGAGAGAGAGAGAGAGAGAGAGA